CACTTACTTCTTATCAAACGATGGATTCATTCATTTTTGCGGTCGATATAGGAATGAAAACAACGACTATTTGATACAAATATCACCAAAAGTATTAAATACTGATAAGAGGTTTACAGAAATGAATACATTTTTCTCATATAAGGATAAACTCTGTGGGTTTAGTGCTATAATGAATGACAAATTGTATGATATTAAAAACAAACTAAACGATAATATAATTGAAACAAATTATACAAATTTCTTCGACTGTTCTACAAATGATTATCAAATAACTCATAAAACCATTGAATTGTGTGATTACAAGGAATATAATTACAAGAATTGCGAAGAATTTATTGCAAAATGTTTGGATTATTTGGAAAAAGTATTTTATTCTATAAAAGACTTATCAAACAATGGTATGAATTGGGTGTATGGGTCATTCACAAAGTACGTACAGTCAGCCAGTCATTAACATTCACGATTAACACATTTACTTGAACAAAAATATGCAAATCTCAAAGCTAAAGTTAACTTGTACATTTTATAATATTCTCTTTTCGAACGCTAATTGCAGTTAGAATTTAAATCTAAAGAAATTGTCAGCAATTAAGCAAATTTCTAAACAAATTATTTTAATTATATTTATGCAAAAATAAATAATATACCTATAATTTAATTACTCTTTAGTAAGCCTACAACACATCCCCGTCCCCTTTGAGTACTACTTTTGGATGACTTTTTAAGAAAAATGAATGAATGAATTTAATTTGTTTTATAGTTGTTTTCGAAGTGAATATATACAACCGTTTGTACGAAGAGTTGTATCGATTAGGTTCGGGAGGTTTTGGGGAAGTATTTGTTGCTAAAGAAAAATATGATGGACGAGAATATGCGTTTAAGAAAATAAAATGCCAAGGTAATTTAATGGCATTTAGGTATATTTTGTATAACCACATTAAAATATATTATGCTGCATTTGTAAATCATTAAATCTTGTCGACATGTTTTGTTAAATTTAGAATTATTTATAATTATCAAAATTAATACACTTACAGGTGCTGACCAATTACGGGAATGTATGCGAGAAATGAAAAATTTGATAAAAGTTAGGTCAGAATATTGTGTCCAATATATCCGTCAATGGCATGAAACCAATGTGTATTACATTGAAATGGAGTTGTGTTCCCATAGTCTGCAGAATATTCTTCAAAACAATCCACAAGTATTTGGTCGACAACCGAAAGAACCAATGAATTCAATCGAGTTTTACATTTCGTGTCATATATTCAAAGAGATCTTAGAATGGGTTCAATATTTACATGAATTGAATCCTCCGGCCTCCGAAATTACATAGAAAGCGATAATATTGAAAATTTATTTTTTGTGCAAAAATTCTCGGATTATTAGGCTATTCAGTAAAACAAACCGCTTTTGAAAATATTAAGCCATTCCGGAGAAATTTAAATTATAGCCAGAAACAACCTTTCCGTATGACCTAATATTATATTTTGTCCATAATAACAATGTATTTGCTACAATTTATCCTGGAATAAATACAAATTTTAGTCAATTTTTGAAATGTGATTAATTGAAAAATACCAAACACATTTTATCAATATATAGCTTATCTTAAAGGTCTATATCTTAGCTGTCAGGCGATGTACATTAAGTTGACCTGGTTGAAACATTATGACCTGTGACTCAGCCTAAAGACCATTGCTGAGATTGATATGAATTTGATGATTTTCTAGATGGGATTTCCTACCTTATATTAAATCATTTTAATACAACATATATACAGAATTAAAACCACACATTAGAACTATTGTTATATAAAACAAAATAATTTGAACTGAATCGTATGAAATTTTAGAGCCATTCAAACATAGTGTCCCGAAAACGACATTTCAATTGCAAAGTCCTTATACTTGTTTTGATGAATTTATTATTTGTATTCTTATGGTGTATATGAATGCCAGAGACTCGAAGTGACTCATCTCTGAATAGACTTACATTACTTATAATTAATTGTATTAAAGCTTTAATAAATATTAGTATAATATACTATTATAGTGAAATAATGTAAAATATTTTATTTTAAAACTTGTATTTCTGATATTCAAATAGCAAACAAATCTCAAATTAATTTTAGTAAAATTAAAGATGTTAAAAGTCTATTAAAGTATTTAGATGATGATAATAAAAATAACATCTAAAATTATTTAAATGTCTTTCAAACTTAATATTTGAACAATTTATACTATAATTTTTTATAATATAATAATAAAATATGTCATAAGGGATCATTCAATAAGTAAGTACGCAAAGGGGACGGGGATGTGTTGTAGGCTTACTAAAGAGTAATTAAATTATAGGTATATT